AATTCATCATTAATTTTTTTAAAATCTGCAATTCACAAATAATTTTTTGAAATAACATCAAAATTTTATTAATACTCTGATTTTGGAGCAGTTTCTACTTCAAATGGTAATTAAGCTTGATAAATCATCCTTAGTGTTGCATATGAATTACCACAGATAATATCTAAATATTTCCAAATTTAAAACTTTTTTTCTTGAAATCTATGTTATTGATTACTGCTAAATTTCATATATTATTACTTTTAATTAAGCATCTTGATAGATTTGATTTTTCTATTCAGATCTTTGCAAGTTTTCATTCATGCTAATCCATATGAGATGTTATATAGTAAATTATTAATATTTGTCAAAAAGAACTTAATAATCGTGATATATAATTGAGACTAGTTAATACTTGAAGTAACTAAACCTTTAAGTGAAAAAAAGTTAAACATAATAATATTGAAGTAATAAAAATTAAAACTTTTATTATTTTATCAGAATTTGTAGTTTTTAGTGATTATTTATACTTTTTTGCTGTTTGTTACAGATTCTTATTTTTTTTGATACAGTTCATTAATAATTTCAAAAAAAAAGTTATTCAAAAATTTAGGAAAGGAATCGTAGTATTCTTGTGATGATTCTAAAGTAAAATTTTTTAAATTAATATTTGATTATAAATTCTATAGCTTCTGACTAAATTTATGATCAAATTGTTTAAAATCATTTGTTTCATAATTTATTACTACTTTTTCTTTTTTAGAAGTCTTCATAAAAAGAATATTTATCATAAATAAACTAGGGAGTTTGTTAAGAGAAATTTTTTCTTGACTGGTGATTAAAATAGCAGTATTATTGGTAAACTTCTAATTAAATAGTATGACTGGATGTCGATCTTAATGATTATAGATCTACAATTTTATAGCAAAATACAAATATCGATAATATCAAATATATTTAACATATCAAACATATTTAACATGTCTAACATGTTTAATATAGCTAATATGTCTAACATAACAGATATGTCTAACATAATTGATATAGTAGATATAGTTAATATAGTTGATATAGTTAACATAGTTAATATATTAGATATATCAAAATATGTAATAGAATAGATATAAATATAACCCCTTCTGTCAATTAGAAGAGACAAGACTGATAGCTATATAGAACCTTTCTCTTGTCAAAGATAACACAACGTTACTCTCCATCTTGTGTATCTCTGTTTCTTATTTCTCTTTTCTTATTTCTTTTATATATCATTATCTTATTATTTTCCTTTTTCTTAAATAAAGTATTTCTTATTTCTTATCTGAAAACTCTTCTTGAATTACTGTGATAATTCTTAGCTTGTGATTGAAATCGCTTACATCTAATAAATTTGATTCAACTCAATAAACTGGTAGTGAATTAACTAAGAATATCACAAACTAACTGGAATTACTACATAGACTATAAAAGAGTCAACCCTCTAACACTACGTTTAACAGTTATAATCTGAAAAGATTACACATTAATAATAGCAATGTAAAAGGTAGAAGAGTTCTATAAGTCTCTTTAAGTATATTTATTTAATTTTATCATTATCTATTTATACAATATTAATTAGCCAATTGCCTAAATATTCAGCCCCTTTGTTATATTATTATCATGTAGTTTTTCAGTAGCATATATTGTTGCACATTTTTCTTGACTAGAATGATGATAAATATGGCATTTAAATTTTTGTAATATGAATAACAAATATATAGAGGCTTTTCAATATTATCAAAAGTTTGCTTACATAAAGATAAACATGATTATAATACCTTATATGTATATTATCTAATACATGATACTTGAATGTTTTGTTTATTTAAATTCTAAGAATATAATGTATACCTTACACCCTAAGAGAAAAAAGTAACATATTTATTATTACATGAAATATATCTATGCTATTGAATACTTCTTTATTAAAATGTTTTAATTAATTACTTTATAGTTTATGTAAATACTAGTTATCAAATTGGAAGTGTGAATTACATACTTCTAATTTTGATAAACAATTAACTTCTTTAATCACTTCTCTATCAATTTATCATGTACTAAATAAATTAGATAATTATCTTAATTTTCCTGACTTTTCATATCTCTGAATTTTACCTTTAACGAAATCAACGATTATATATAGTGTAAATTTTGTATGCTCTAAATCATCTACAATTTCATCTCATTCAATTTCCTTATAATTATTCTGAAAGTTCTCAGAGTCTGTAGTATCATTTTGAAAGTTTTCAAAATTTGAATCACTATTATCAGTATTATCATCAAATAAATTAACAAACAATTCTTCCATTGAAAAAGGTTTATACTCTGATCTATTTTGTTCAAAAAACTCGTCATTATTATCTGTTTCATTATTGTATTCTTCTGAAAAGTCATCAAAAATAAAGAAAATGGTAAAGGTGAAGAAATATTGTGTTCTTGTTCAGAATTTTATTAATAATTAATACACATAAAACTAAATTGTATCTTTCTTTTTTTTCTCAAATAATTACTATTGATCTCTATATTATGCATTTATTTAATTTTACAGTACTACTAACATTAATTCAAAAAATTACGATTGTAATTAAATGATTCATCAACTTTAAGAATCTTCCAAACGTTTTTAATTTAAAAGAGAGAAATTTATTTGATTAGTAACGCAGCAAGTCGATCACTAACCAAAAAGATTTTGGTCTGTATAACATTAGATTTGTCCGGTGATTGGTTAATTCATTCATTCATACTTTATTTAATACATTTTTTTCACTTTGACTTATTCGACGTAAAATATTTTCTCGTGATATTTATTGTGCATACTCCGATTTTCAAAATCATGATTAACATTTAATGAACGAATGTTCTATGACTTTGTAAATTTCCGAGTCACATTATATAAATGACACTGTGTATCTTTCCTTTTTGTTGTTTGAAAGCATGGCTGATGGCATGCTCCATTATATCAAATACAATTTGTCCTGCTGCTGTATAGTAAATCGTAAATCATCATGGAATTCTTCCACTTTACCAACATATACTTTTACATCCTTCATTAATTATGTACATGCATTTTTCAGCTATTTATTAATGATTAACAGATTAATTGTATTTTCTTGTCCTTCATTAACGCTAATACTAAAGTTAATTTGTACCATATTTAAAATTAGGAAAAGCAACCAAAAAAATTTAGCCACGCAAAAAATTTTCACGCAGCGCAGCAATTTATGACGAAAGGAGAAATTTAGGTTTCATTGATGTTTGGTACGTGTCGTGTGGCAATACAAGATTTTAACTGCGAAAGATAATCAACATTTTTAATTTATAGTACTTTATATATATATATATATCTTGGTGCACAGTTAAATGTTATCAACAAATCCAAACATTTCGGCATCGGCTGAATTTTCTTAAGCCACTTACCCAACTTTAAAATAATAATAACCCGGTCTTTACCAGTTTAACAAATATTTGTTTTGGAGATCTTTTTTTGTGATTGTTAAATAATGATTATCGATATAATATTAATTTTAGAACAATTTCTATAATTGCTTATTAAATTTTACTTATGATCGACTCAAAATGTCTATAAATGTCAATTAAAATTAATATAAATGAAGAAATAGGGGTTTCTTTGAAACACATGATATGATTGTTTTATTGTTTTTACCCCTATCAATGATTGTACAATGATTTCATCATTCCATCTTTGACTGGTACTACCATCAGGAACATAAGAAACTTGAATACAAATTATCTAAGGGGGAGAGGAGGGTGTCCATCCATTCAACATGATATTTCCAATTTAATTTCCGTAACAACTGGTATTCCATAATTTAAATGAAATCCCCTTATTAATAGAAATCGTTTGATTAATTACCTATCTAACCAAAATCTAAATCAAGGGACAATGTTTCTTAAACCATCTCACATTTTGTTGAATATTTAACCAATCATTTAATGTACCATCAAGCAAATACCGAAACGAGAACGTGAATTAATTAGCACGGAATTTAACAATACTAATTCGTTCGCGAACTTACTTTATTTGTGCTAGTAGGAAACTACAAGTGAATAATTCTTTAATCGAAATAAGTTTAGCGGTAATTTGCAACCTTGATGATTTACTATCCATTGTCTATACTTTTTAAGGATTATTATTAATATATTGAGAAATTCCTTGATTAAACCAAACATCATAAGCAAATGTTGACGTTTAAATTCTTGAGATGATTTATCACGTGTGATTACTTTCAAAATTATCGTCAAGATGACAATTTTTTTTTTTTAATAAAGGAAAATTTTTATTTTCTGTATGAATCGTCATTTATATAACTATTTGGCCGAACTAGTAACCGTACATATCATCGTTATGCCATTTATAGATAAATTCTTTGTTCTATTGAACTACTGTAACTAACTGTTAACACATGTTAAAGCATCTGAATAAACCTTCATTAAGAGAATTTTTTAACCTTTCATTTTTAACCATCTGTCTTAAAAACGATATTACGTGATAACCGTTAAACCTTGAAAAATCTGTAATAGTTTATTACACATAAAGTTTCTTTCCCACTCTAAATCCGGATAAAACGGATGAATTCATTTCCGAATTCATTATTCGATGGTTATTCTACAATGCGATTACCATAATAAGATTGATAAACAATGTTCAGTAAAAATTTGGTAATAATATGATCATTATCATCAGATTACTTTTATATTAATGATTTAACTCCATAATAAGAATCACACCAATTGAAAATCCGTATCAGATTACTAATTATGTACTAGACCTTATTTTATTTTATTTATTTTATCCAAATTGTTGAATATTTGAATTGGCGTAACTATAAATATTCCTTGGTGGTTTTTTTTTTTTTTTTTTTAAAAAAAAAAAACTTTTCCTTCCCAACTTTTATTTTTTCCTATATTTATAACTTGTCGTATTTATTTTATTTATTATTTATTATTCTACCCATAATAAATAAATGGATTTGAATAGACTTGCCGCACTTGGTTGTTGTTCTTGGTATTTTAATAGAAAAGCAAAGGTAATTAATATATTGATGCTTTAATTTAATTTAATTACAATAAAATGACATAAATATTTATATTCCTCTCTCCATAGAATATCAAGCGTGACTTGATAATTCCACCAAATCCATCATCACAATCAGATGAAATGACGAAAAAGGAATTAAAAAAGTCGTCGTAAACAATTTGGAATATGTTTAAAATGTGGTCAAACTTTGACGGATTATAAATATTGTCAATCATGTTCTTCAAAGGAATTTCAATCAAAATTTAATGAGTGGACAAGTGAAGATCTATGTATAGATAAATTCATTCAAGGTTCTCAATTAAAGTCGACGAATAACCGATCTTATTTATTATGGATACCTTTTGACGATTTAATCGATGTAAAATATTTAGCAAATGGAGGTTTCGCTTCGGTTTATTCGGCCATTTGGGATCATTTTGAGACCAAAGATATGGTTGACGTTGTGCTTAAACGTTTACATAATGGTCAGATTTCTAATCCTGAATTTTTAAAAGAACAAGTTTCAATGTTTTTATATGGGTCTATGAATAATAGTAATATCGTTAGATGTTATGGTTTCACAAAACACCCTACCGAAGGTTATATGTTGGTGTTGGAACAAGCTGAGGATGGTGATTTGAGAGGGTTTCTTCGTAGACAATCTTCTACCTTATTATGGTCTGAAAAATTATTCATTCTAAGAGATATTTCGAAATCACTTGAATTACTTCATCAGCATGAATTCGTTCATGGTGATTTGCATACCGGTAATATATTAAAGACAAATAATCAAAGAAGGTCATGTCGAATTCTCAAGAATAATAAGAAAAGTTATAATGATAATATAAAAAATGTAAGGGAAATAATCGTTGATTTACCGTTATGTTTTGATTCAAATATTTCAAACACTTCACCTTTTGGTGTTATACCATACGTCGCCCCTGAAGTGTTTGAGAAAGGTTATTATACAAAACAAACTGATATTTACAGTTTCGCTATAATCATGTGGGAATTAGCTACTTGTCAACAACCTTTCTCTAAATACTCTAATGAAAAAGATTTGGTTCAAGATATTCAGAATGGTATTCGTCCTGAAATTGATGATCAACAAATTCCTAAATGTGTTTTGGATTTAATGAAAAAATGTTGGGATCCTAAACCACTTAATAGACCTTCCGTTAAAACCATTACTAGTATAATCGATGAATGGATTTGGATTCTGTCGGCTTCAAAGATTAGATTATCTAACAAGTCTAGGGATATTTTAAATCAATTTTCTTTGGCTAATAATAATACAAAGAAAATAGTTAAACGTCAATCAAAGTTACCCCCTTCGCTTACTCGTTCTTCTACTCTGCTTAGGAACAATACTTACTATAGCAAATCTTTGAGTGATTATGTAACTATTATGGGTGTTGAAAAATCTGCGAATGCTGCTTCTTTTGCTGCTTCTACCAGTTCAGTTAACTTTGGTAAATATCAAAATTATTATTTGAATGCGTTTTTTTAAGGAGAATACTTTTATTAACATGCATTCTAATTTACCGATACAGATGACGAGGACTCTTAATAATTAGAATTTATCTGATTATACAATTCTGGCTCGAATCCTTTTGATAAGTATTTGGTCACAAACAACATCCTATATCCGTTAAAAAAGACAAAAAAAAAAAAAAAAACTCTTCCCATTTTTTCCTGATTAGAATAATTTTATTACATATCTTATTTCGTTGGAAGGGCTTTTTATTTTGGACTTTTTTACATCATAGAAAAAGATTTCGCGATTCAATTCATGATTTCTTTGATTATATAGAATAAAAACCTTTCAATTTACTTTTTTTTTTTGTTTTTTTTTTTTTATTTAAAAAAAAGTTTTTTTGTATTTATATCTTTCATTGATTCTTATTTTTATCGTGTATTAATTAATATTATATTATGCTAACTCTTAATATTAAAAATAAAATATATGTATTTGTACACAAGATGTATAAACGTCATATTACAATGATTTTCTTCGCTTTTGCTTAGTAAAAACGATGGCCAATGCTTCAGTAACTTCAAGTTAATAAGTTTATATTAGTAAAATATTATCCTAAACATCTTTTTATAAAAAAATAAAAAATAAAAAATCAATAATTTGCAAAATCTTATATTATAAATTATTACAATCTTGATCTGAATAATAAGATAGTAATGAATAGTTAACAAACTAAAAAAAAAAAAGATTAAAAAAATTATTTTGGCATTTTATTTGTTTAATATTTGCAAATATATTAATTATTGCTTATAAATTTTTTAGCAAATCAGTATTTTTTTTTTATTGAAATATTAGAGAATATATTTATAGGAATTAGTTTTAATAAAGCTTAATCTTCTAATCTCTTTATAAAATACTCTAATTTAGGTTTCAGTTGATCTTAAAAATTGATTATAATCCACTTATTCAAATGCTATTATTTTGATATTATAGACCATTAACTATTGGTTCATCTTAAGTTAGGTATTAATTAGACCTTTAAAACTACTATAAAAATTGAATAAAAAAATTATTTAAGTCATAGTAATTATTAATTACTATTCTTATCTAACTGTTGTCACCGTGGAATTCTTCAACTCGAGATGATCATGTTATCAAATCTCTACTCGAAATTTCTTAACTACGGCTTACTGCGGTTAAGACGTTAGGATCCGTCTAACTCTTAACTTGACCAAATCTATGCGTTGAACTTAAACAAATCTATCAAGTATGAAGACTTGAAAGACGAGATTACGAATAATTTTAATTAAAGAATTCTGAATGACGAACTCAATTACAAATAATGTGTAGGGATCACGTCAGACTATATGAAGACACGAAGAGGCAGAAAGATATAAGTTTTAAATTGATTCCTTTATTAATATTGAAACTCGTATTCACAAAAGAGTTTTCTAATCTGCAAAAGAGTTAATTTACAACATAAGCAAAAAGTCTATCTATTTATACAAAAATTTTTTCATCATGGCTAACTAATTACTATGCTATAAACTAACTAATTTGGCAAAATAACTATAAGTAAAATAAATACATTGAGAATACGTAAAATAATAAAAATATAAAATAAAATAAAAATAATAATAACATTTAGAATATTAAAAATACGTATAACACCAAATATTCTTAGACTTCGTTTAATTTGTAAAATAATGATTATTATCAGTATTTGAAAGATCTTCAGAATTACGTAGATCTTCCGTATTTTTAGAATTCGCATAATTCTCAGTATTTTCAGAATTCTGGATTAAAAGATCATCATATTGCATCATTCACGTGACTTCATTATGACTGGTTAATTGCTCTATTGATAATATATACATAATTCCTATATATATAATACATTTATACGAATAATATATGTATGTATAATAAATATTTCATACATCACCATACATCATTTATCATATATATATTAGTCCTAATTAAAATTTAATTTTTTAAATTTAATATAGATACATCAGATTTAATTTTTGAAATTTAACAAAATTATTTCATGAAAAAGTCTATTTAATGTTACAGTAAATTATTTTATTTTAAAATGAAACATTTTTATAGGATTCAAAATAAACTAAATAATATTTTTATTTGTATTTAAGTGGTCTTTTTAAAATCAAATAGTCACAAAAGTTTTATATAAGATCTGAATATTAATTAACCTTATAATATCTATCACTCAGATCCTTTAATATTTGGATCATTAGAAGGTAAGTTCTGTTAAAGAAAAAATTTATTTTTAAAGTTTTTTTGTAAAAAAAAAAAAAATCAAAAAAAAAAACTAATTTATATTAAATTTTTTTAATAAAAATCAATTACACTAACTAAAATTATTTACCTTCTTATAAATATCAGATTCTTTATATATATTGGCTTATTCAATCATTAGATCATTTAAGATAAGTCTTATAAAAAAAAAAGTTTTTTTAATATTAAATTTTTTTAAATTAATCAACTAACTAAGTATCTTTTGTAAATACCGGACTCTTATCATTTGAGGTAAGTCCTATAAATAAAAGATGTTTTTTAATATGAATAACTTTTTTAAATTGATTAATGATAATACTCACCTTTTTGTAAATACTAGATTTTTCAATTATCAGATCATTTGAGGTAAGTTTTATTAAAAAGTATTATTAAATATTTTTTTTTTGTAAAAAAAAATTCTAAAATTTATTTATCTTATAAGATATCCAATACTTCAAAATCTTAAATCTTTTAGAGATAAACTTATAAAAAAAATTACTTTTTGATATTTAAATATTTTTTTAAAAAAAATTAATAATTAAATTACTTTACTTTTTTATAGATATTAGTTTTTATTATTCAGAGATAAATCCTATGAAAAAAAAAAATTATAATATTAAATTTTTTTTTTAATTAATCAATTAAACTAACTAAAGATATTACTTACCTTTTTATAATATCAGATTCTTTAATCAGCGGATCATTCAGAAGTAAGTTCTATGAAAAAAAATTTTATAATATTAATTTTTTTTTAAATCAAATTAATAACTATACTTACCTTCTTATAGCTACTCAGATTCTTCAAACATTAGATCATTCAAAAGTAGGTCCTATATAAAAAAATATATTTTTTAATATAAATTTTTTTTAAAATAAAATAATTAACTACTATGCTAATTATCTTTTATAAATATTGAATTCTTTAATCATCAGATCATTCAGAAGTAAGATCTATTAAAAAAGAGTTATCAAATGATTTTTTTTTAAAAAAAATTCCTAAATAAAGTTTATTTATCTTCTTGTAGATATCAAAAAGTCATTTAAAAAGAATTTATTTTTTTTTTTAAAAAATAAAATCAATCATAAATAGTAATGATATCTTCATAAAATCTTATAACTTTATTTCTTTTAAACTTTAAATTTATGAAATACAAAATCTTATCTTTATGTATAATCTATTTATAAATTTTATTCATTTTTATATTTCTTTCTTTATTAAATATTTGCTAATTCTAACTCTTCAGCTTTAGCTTCTAACATTCGTGTTTCTACTTTAGTAATTTTTGCTTTAATAAAATATTCTTTTAAAGCAACTTTTCTTTCTTCATTTTCCAGTTTAAGTAACTCATCATTTCTTTCTTTATGTTCATTTTCTAATAAGATAACATCTTTTGATTATTTCTTTTTAATAGATTTTGCTTTTTTCTCTTTGATGGATTTATTGAATTATTGTTATTTTTAGATTCTACACATTATAATAAAAAAATAAATAAATTTTATATAAAATTAATTAAATAATATAATTTTACTTACTTTTACGTATCAAAGCTATTTGCATTTTTTTGATATTACTTTTATACTGATAGGTATTAAGAATATCACTTTTATTATGAACTTCAATTATTTTATAATATCTTATATTATATCTTTTACCTCTTTTAAATTTAAAATTATTTATAGTTAATAATATTAAACTTAAATTTAAAATTACTAAAAAAATATAAATTAATCTTAAAATAGCTGATAATAATCCTAATTATTTTCCTTTTTTATTTACTATAGCATATACTATTTTAGTATTATTTATATTAGTTCTATTTTTACACCAAATTTCATAATCAATATTTGAAATAAATTAATTTAAAGAAGCCAAAACTTATAGTTATTAATAATAATGCAACCAATCTAAAAAAAATTTTTTTAATATAATCTTTTTTAAGAATAATATAATAAATTAAATAGATAATATTATACCTTCAATTTCATTATTTTTGATTTCATTTATTTTTTACAAAATATTAAAAACTTGTTCTTTACTAGATGCATTAGGAATTTATTTTATTAAATTTTTGTGTTTATATTAAATGTTTTATTATACAAATTTTTAAAAATAATAAAAAATAATAATAGTAAATTAGAATTAATAAATAAATTAATTAATAAATAAATTTATAATACCTTTCAAAATGAATAAGATATGATTTAAAAATATAGATTAAGTGAGATTTCCAATCTTTATTAGGATCTAAATCATAAAGTACTAAACTCAAATCCTTAGCTTATGTAGGATTTAAATCAGCTAGAATACATCTAATACCTTATTTATGGATATGTTAAAATTGAATAGGTTGATCACTTAATTCATAAATTATTTGAAATAAGGATAATAATAATCTATAATATCCTTTAGCTGTAAAAATATTTGTAAAAACTCAACAAAATGATAAAACTTAAAATAAAGTTAATATATAATTTTATAATATGCATTATTAATCAAAAAATTTTTACTTATTTAAATGATAATTAGAATTATATGTATTATTTCAAATATATTTATTTCACCTTTATCTGCTTAAACTAATATCAATTTGAAACCACTCAAGTGTAATTAATTTTTTAGCTTATTCAACAAGCATATATATAATAATTACTTGACTATTATTATAAGAATCTAAAAATAATAAAATAGTTATTAAGAATAAATATATTAAATTAATATAAATCAATATATTTTAAAAATTTCCCAAGTTTTCAAACATAATTTTTTAAATCAGAATTTGTATTTAACAAATTATAATAAACACTCATAATACTTTGTCTAAATAAATATAAAGTTTTATATGTTTTGTCTATTAAATAACGTAATTTATCAATATTATTAAGTGATATATAAATTTTAAATAAAGTTTCCTTATTAAAATAGGCTTTAATTAAGTTGTCTATTAATTTATTTATTAAAATTATATTAATAATTATAATTAATAATTAATAATAGTAAATAAATAATGATTATTAGTATTTATTACCTGATAGTAGAGATCTTGAAGTAACTATATTATTTTCATGAATGGTTTACTCAATTAAAGATTGTAAATTACTTTTAATTTCTGCTGAAGTTCTTTTTAATACTGGTAGTAGATAATTATGAATTCTAATATATATTAAGATAACAAAAAAACAACTAATAATATTATCAGAAATAATTTTTATAAAATATATTGAATAAGATTTTGAATTATTTCTCTATGAATAATCATTTTATTATCATTTGAATGAGGTAAATCTTAAAAAAATAATCAGTTTTTTTTTAGTAATTTAAAAAATTTACTATAATAAAAATAAATTTAATATATTATTACATGTTATGCATCTACAACTTTTAAAAACTATTATACTACATTTTGCTATTTCTTTATCTAAAATAAATTGATAAATATTAATTTTTAAAACTCAAATAATAATAAATAAAAGAAAAAATAAATACTTACATTTGCAATATCTATAAATAAACTTTAAAGCAATAAAACATCGATTTCTTCTTATTTAATTTTAATAAATTGATATTATTTTTCACCTTGTTTATATTTTGTATATCTAATAAAATAGTATATAATATTTGTTTGATAATTAGTATTTTTTTAATATGAGAATCACTATCACAAGATATATTATTTATTTAAATTTGCAAACATTATCTTTAGATGCTAAATATAAACTAATAAATAATTAAGTTAGAATAGATTTTATATTAAAGATTAAAGTAAATTAATAAATTTACGCATATATTATAGTTTTCTTACTATTATTATCATCTTGTTGATTATATTTTTGAAAAGGCTTAGAATTAAAATCAATATTATAATACTCTTAATTATTAATTCAGGATCTGTAAACTGACAATACTTAATGCTTTAACATTTTCTATCATTCTTTTTAACAGATATTCTACTAAAAAAAGGCATTTTTGAATATTTGTAATACCACTTGCACTATTGATTAAATGCTAGATCTTATATTATAATAAAAATTTTAATAATTAAAATTTATATTTTATTATAAATTATAAAATAATATATACTTATATCTGTGAATACATCTGTATAATTTTTCCATACAATTATATTATATACAGTTGCAACTCTTTCTAGTAATGTATCTGAATATTCTATAGAAACAGTTATATATATAACTCTTGAAACTTATAATTTAAAAGTAAAGAAAACACAAGTTTCTTCATTTTCTATTTCATCATTATCTTTGCTCTATTTTTAATATATTTTTTTATTAGATTTAACAAAAAAGTAATTTAGTTTATATCATATTTATTTATAACTTCAATAAAATCTTTTGCAGTATATTAATCAATATCTAAATTTCAATAGTAAAAGACATTATGAACTTGAGTTTTTGAAAAAAAAATTTGTTTTTAAAAAATATTTTACACAAAAATCCGATTAAATTACTTATTTTCTGATTATATATAAAAAATTGAATTATTCATAAAATATCAGAAATTTCTTGAAATTTAATCTTTTTAAATAAAATGATATCATACAATTTTATTTGTTATATGATCAGTAAATTAAAAAATAAATCTGGTAAAAATAAAGATAATTATTTTAAAAATCTATCTATAATAAGATTTAATATATTGTTTATTTATTTTCTGATTACAATTGTCAAAAAGTTAAATTACTATATACAGTATAAATAATTTATAGTAATAATAAGAGAATTATTCATATAAAGAAAAAAAAATCTAATAAAGGATTAATTAGTTAATTTTAAAGGTTTTATTTCCAGTAATCTGATCCAAATTCTATAATAAAAAATATATTAAAAAATATTTCAATAAAAAAAATTAAAAAAAAAGAACTTTAAAAATTACCTTCAAAATAAATTATTCCTATAATCCAAGTATAAATTCTAAAAAAAAAAGATAGAAAATAAAAACAGAGCTAAAGATTAAAAAAAAAAAGTTAAAAAATAATTAATATAAAAACAATGATTCTTTTAATAATAAAAGAATTAAAAAAAATATTATTAATAATAAAATTTTCTTTTTGTTTAAGTAAATTATATAAACATGATAAGGACAGTGACATATATTACCTAATATTTTAGGGGTAGGGGTAACAGAAAATCTTAGGTTACATATAATATGATTGGTCACGTGATATAGCTTATACTTAATATTATATTCAATATTTATTTTATTTATTTTTGTATTTATAATTAACTACATGCATATATAAAATGCATGTATAAATACTATAACTGATTATATGTATTCTTCATTTGACATACAATCTCTTAAATACACTTCATCAAAAAGAAGCTGCTTCTATTGTGATGAAAGAAGAGAGAAGTCATCAAGAGTTCTTAAATTTTGTTTTTAGACTTCTCTTAGACTGTCTACAGCTTGCAAGATGTACGTTCATTTATAGTTTGTCAAATAACTAAGAATTAGAAAGTATTTATTACACTCAGAGTAACAAAATCATGAATAAGTTGTTTGATCAAAGGAAGGACAATGTGAATCGTATTCAGAAATTTTCAACAGATTATAATATTCAAGAAGATGTATAGAATTTGTGAAATGTCTGTCTCTAGCTTTTGTGACTGAAGGTAAAAAACCATTATTTGAAAGAAGAAATTCTGTGATTTTTTTTACACAAAATGGTTCACAACAGTTTATGTTTATGCATCATTTAACATTAAGAAAATATTGACAGAGATTACAGTATTTTTCAATCTATAACCACAGTACAAAACATTCTGGTAAGTCATTTCCTTTTCTTGTTTATTTTTTTGTCATTTCTGTTCTTCTTCATTTTCTTTATCCATATCTTAAAACTGCAGATCTCTGAATGGATTAGCAAGTTTTTTAATATACTGTGCATCCATACTTCTTCCAAAAATCAAGTCATAATACCAAATTTCATAAAGTTCCTCTTCAGCATATCAGAAGTTTTGAAGAGCTAATTCCAGATTGATCACTTTTTTTTGTGTATTTAAGTGTATTCTAAAGTGATCAATTAGTAATATGATGCCTGCTAACTTTTCAGATAGTGTTACTATTCCCCTTTCAATAGAATTATACTTAGATTATTCCAGAGCTTGTGTTAATAATATCAAATAATCTAAATCAAACTTTCAAAAAAGTTGACAATACATTTTAATATTTTTAGATGCCTTAGATTCTTATCTAATCTTCCATCTACTAGTAACACTCAGATAGGTTGAATTTCTCTGTCAGTATTTAATGTTATTATATTAAGAAACTAAAGTAAGTCTTTTAAAGTCTTGCATATATGTGATTAAAGATATACCAAAGGATTATTACTGACATATAAAAATGGTAAGCTATCCAGTTCGTAACTCATCATTTAATTCATTTAGTTTAATTATAAGATAAACCGATAGGACTAACTTTGCTCACTTCTTACAGGAAAATTATGGTCAGTCATACA